CCCTCGGTCTTTCATCAGGACTCTGCTGCTCCACTTGGGCCCAGTTTAACTTGGATTCTGAAAGGTGGGGATGTCGCACCCGCTTGCCACCCCGAGGTGCTGATGAATTCACCGCCCGATTCCGGCTCGGTGGCCCGATTCATTTTCACTCCAGAGAAAGGACCCTTGTTGCCTCTCTTTGAAGTACCCGGGCGGCTGGCTGCACACCATGGTGGCGGGACCTGGGCAGAGCGTTCTACCTCTTATCTGAACATTTTATTTTAAAAGGCTGGCCCAGACTCGTGTTTCTCAAGTGGGTGCCTGCCGTTCATTCATCCATGTCATCTGCTCCTTCCAAAGGCCATCCTTGGGAGTCCAGGGCAGGGAGGGGCGGGGCCTGCGTGGCATCCCTAGTTGGAATGGTAGAGGTCACAGTGGTGGTTGTGGGGGCTGCCAGGACCCCTAGCGACCCCAGGCACAACAGAACACAACCCCACCCGGCCCTGCGCCACCCTCACAAGTGTCCTCCCGTGTGAGCCCGTCCTTACAGCCCCCATGTCAGTCCGTGTCACCCAGGGCCCTCCGCTCTTCCGTAGCTCAGCTCCTCGACACAGACTCCTCTGGACCTGGACCTCTTGGTCCGCGCCTGCATCCCATATGGGGCATCTTTTACTTTTGCTCCCTCCCTTGTGAGAGCCATGTCCGGGTGAGGGCTGACAGAGCGGGTATCCGTTTGACACCCAACAATTCACACCATTTCTCTTCTTCCATCCGAGTGCCGTCCCCTCCCTCGGTGGACGGACCATGACCCAGCCCACTTCCTCCCTGGCTTTCCTGGGTTCCTTCCTCCACCTTTCCTCACTCCCGGAACAATATCTCTGGCGAGGGATGCCCCTCCGTTGTTCTAAGATGGGCGCCCCTCGCTGGTGTCAGGGCTCCCCTTGTGAACCCGTCTGTGATGGGGCTGAGGACCGAGCTGTGAGGGTCAAGTTCCGCTCCAGACTTGACCAAGGGCTGTGATCCTCCTGAGCGTTCCACCGGTCTCTTTCTCTGCAGTAGCCCCGTCTCTCTCACCTTATTGACTTCTATTCCATCCGGGTGTTTCTCCAATTCCCTCTAGGCCTTCTCATGGGGACCCTCTCAGAGCAGCTGGCAGTGGGGTGCCATCTGGTTCTTCTGGTCTCAGGGTCATGGAGACAGACAGATGTCT